ATTGCATTTAACGAAAAAATTTCAAATGTGGTTTTTTCAAAACTAAAATTATTAACTTAGCGAAATCTGATTTGGACTAAAATGACGAAACATTTTCCCGCCAACTATATTAAATTTTTTCTAAACGACTCAGTTTTTCTACTTTATAAAAATCCCATATGAGTATGCGTTTGCTCATTTCAGAATTAAAATTCTTAATCGTTTGTCTATTTTAAATTTATTTTTGTTTTAATTTTTTTTTATTTATTTTATATTTTTTTTAAATTATTTTATCAGCTTCCGCGATCAGATCAGTTAAAAGCAACGACGTTTTCTAATAACTTTTTCTCCTTTACTCTGTTAAGATTAATTTATATTAACATTATTAAAAAACTGTATGACTAAATCAATATAAATGTATATACATACATATATATTGCACGTTTAGCGACTTTAAAATATGTACATATACATATTATATATACATATGTATTTATGTGCATATGTTATTAAAATTCATAAATTATTGTTGTTGTTATATTAAATGCAAAGTAAAATGAGTACAGAAATAGATTTAATAGAGCTAAGTGTTAAGCTTTTTCTTGTACTTTATTCAAGTGTTCTGTACTGAAAGGCAATATGAGTTAGCAAAAGTAAATTAAAAAATACAGATTTTGTATGCATGTATGTATCAAAAATTATTAACTTGTATATAAACTCACATACTTGCATATTGTATAACAACATTGTTTTATAGTGTACATAATTATGGAGATTTTTTAAGCGCCATTTGATGAACACGCGATTTAAGATTTTTGAATAATTGAGCACGATTTTAGAGTTATGCTTTTTTGTTGTATGTATATTATACACACACATACAATTGTTATACATACTTATTTATATACAATACAGTTATTTATAAATTGTTATTATTATTTTTAATAATATTTTGAAAATTTTGCAGATTTTTATTAAATTTAAAAAATGGTTTGAACATTTTTTTGTTTTTTTTTTTTTTAATTTTATAAGCTTAAGCACAATTGAAACTTGTATACATTATAAGTTGGGTCATATAAAAGTTCAAAGAATCAACGATTACGGAGTAAAGAAATAAATGAAGATGAAATTATCTATTAATGTTGATTATTATTACATACATACGTACAAATAATTATAACGTTACATATTATATTGGGGACTCAAAATAATTTCAAAAATGAGATTTAGAAGTATTGTTTCAAATTTCCTAAAAATATCTTTTATAAAAAGAAAAAGGAAAAAAAAATTAATAGGAATTTTAATAGAATTTTGTTTCAAAGTAATTTTGGAAAGTCTAGAAACGTATAGGTTATTAAAGTTTATCTTTTTCATTTTAAATTGATCAATTTTATTTTTGTTTAAAATTAAGCATGCACTTTTAAAAAAAAAATTATAATGCCATGAAATTAATAACTATTTATAATGATCTTACAATATTCAGTTTGAATATTACAGAAGGTCAAACAAAAAATATGTACATTAATTGTGAGGTAATTAACTTCTAGCCTAGTAGAATAAAAATGCTAAGTACATACATCTAATTTTAAAGATTGAAAGTTAAGATCTGAAATTTTAAAATTGTCATTTTACTCGTATTACTAGTAGCAGGCAATATGATAATTGCAACTTAATAGTTTTACAGTACTTAAGACTTTAAATCGTTTATTAGAGTTTATTTACATATATTATATTTTTAGACATTCTTAGAAATAATTACCAAATTTTGAGTACAACAAGAATTTTGTAAGATTTGTAAAAAACCAATAATTTTACAAAAAAAATTTAAATTATATACGTTTTTTCCAGTCGCGAAACCACTCACGGGTTAGTTTGTAATTTGAACGATGATTTTACGAAGACCCCTTACATAGGATAAAAAATATAACCCTCCTAACGGAATAAATATGTACCCTTATACATTTTTTATAAAAAGAATGTACCAATTATTCTAAAATTTTTTCTAAAATTAAATGTTACTTATATGATTAATGTCCCTACAGTCTAATATTCAATGAACCCCAATCTCTTAGTGCTTTTGAAAAAGAAGATCAGCCCACCTATGACTCATAAAGCCAGATACTGGTTGACAAGTCTTGGAAAATTCCTTCAAAAAAAATTCGGTTTTATTCCAGTAATTCAGAAAAGAATGTACATAGTTGTGCTCTAAGTATTACGACAGGTGGCAAATTTTTTATTAGAATGAGCAGCCCTATTTGTGTATGAAGTGAAATGTGCTTATGTATATAAGTAAATACAGTAATACCCCGTGTTACGTACGCTCGTTTTACGTACCCTCGCACTTACGTACATCTCATTTTTGTCCCCAATTGCCCATTATACGTACAATGATTCACACTTACGTACAAGTACATTTTTTCTGGTTTTGAAATTTATGGAAAAAAAATTATGTATACCAAATTGAGAATGTACACTTGTAACAACGTGTTTTTGTATGTCTGTACATTATTTCTATGAAACCTAAATTTTGTTATGAGTGAATGCATGTAGAAACAAGTCAAAACAAAATCTATGTAAAGTGGAATAAGAACAAAACTACAAAAACTATATCACCTAGCTCAAAAGAAAATTGGAATTTGGCATCCACTTCAGGAAGTCGCAAAACTTTTTCAATAAGCTCATCTACATCTCCTGACTCACCAGCAAAAAAGCGTTTAGCGGTTGATTACATCACTTATGAAGATGAAGATGATACATCATTCTCTACATCATGGAGCAATTAAATTTGAATTACTGTTATCCTCAGGAAAGCTGTCCAAAATTATCTTCTTTTTTGTCATAGTTTTATTAAAGATCTTCTTCGCTCAGCTTTTTCCTCCTGCCGTCCCTTCCCCTCTTTATTCTCTTTAAATACTTTTCGTTATCAACATTCCTTCCTCTTTGGGAATGATGGCGGTATTAAAGGGAGGTAACTTGGACTGGTCTGGCGGCATTCTCAAACATTTCTCTCCCGGGGCTAATCCAAGCTCCAGTGTTCTGAGCTCTCGCGTAATAATTACAATATTATTTATATTTAAATTATGTATTGATGAATTTTGAAGCTTATGTTTTATATTTCAGTTTTGTTTGATATTTATATATGTATATGAATTTGTTTTTTGTTTTTTTTTTTTAATACACGTTAAGTGTTAAATATAGTATAAAAACGTATGAAATAAAAGTATAAAACTGCATACATAATATGCCTCTTTTTCTTTTTATTTATATATTTATTGTTTTAGTTTGTTTCAAAAATATTATTCATCAATAAAGTAGTAGATTCATTCTACGTACATTTTTGTTTTACGTACACGCTCCGGTCCCAAAGGGTACGTAAGTGCGGGGTATTACTGTATCTTCATTTTCCTAGAGCAATGGAAATTTTTATAAAAATTCAATATTTTGGATTACGTGCGAATATTATATAAAAAAATCTATAACATTTATATCATACTATATTATAATATATGTATGTATGTATAATACATTTGCGAATGTGTATAAATGCTGTATGCGCTAAAGTTATAAGTATTTAATTTTTGTTTTTTGCTCACTTTTAGTTTTATGAATTAAAAACAAAAACAATTTTTGTTGAATTGACATATACGAACTGATTAAGCATAAAAATAAAAGTTAAAAAACTTTTGATTTTCATTTTTTTTTTATTTGTAGAAGAAAAGAGTGTTCTTATTAAATGAACTGTTTTGTCATTTGATACCAGACATTCAGTCTAACCGAATATGGCGTGACCATTATTAATTTAACACCAAATTCACCAGCAGTAATTTAATTTTGTAGAATTTTAGTTTTCGCGTTTTTATTTTTTTTTATTTTCAACTTTTCGTTTACTCTATTTGATTTTTTTTGTGTGTTCTGGTTGGTTTCAGATTTTGAATCTCGTGCATGAAAAAGGTCATCTCTTTATATAAATATATTTTTATAGAGTATGTGTATGAATAGAATGTGTGCATGTTAATAAATTTTGAAACGTGATAATAAAAGCATCCTCGTAATAAATTTAATAAGAAAAAAAATTTTTTTTGACTATAATGACTTGAAAATTAGATTAAAATCACATTCTAATTAATTTGTATTCAAATGGAAGTGATTTTGATTGTGTTTTCAGTCAAAAGTGTTTTTTTTTGTTTTTAAATAACGAACAAGGCAAATGAACTTCCATTCTTGTAGGAATGTTGCAAATTTTTTTTTTGTAAAAAATGTTAAGCTTATAAATTTTAATATTTATAAAATGAATTAAAAAATTTTTTTTGGTTTCGATAACTTGAAAAAGAAATTTATTAACTGCTTATAGAATTGATAACACAAAAGTTTCCTGTATTTGATTCAAGAATTATGTAAAATGGAAAAGGAAATGTTTAGTTTCGTTCACAAGTTGCTCGAGTACATAAGGGCGCGGTGAATCTTGAGCAAGGGGAGGGGTAAAACAGATCTTTTACGTGGTCACGATGTAATATTACGCCATGTTTACACTCTACTATCTAGTTTCGCTTTTCGTACATTTAGCAGCCCTGCCAAAACCAGATTGATTCATTGATCCCCATTATATTAAACATTTTTCCACCAAAGTTATTTGTTTAAATCTTTTGAAATTTCAATTTAATTTTTAAACAAATAACGTAATTTAAAGCAATGTAACTCAAAAATTTCAAATACAAAAAATGGTTTTGTTAAAATTTTATTTGCTATTGAAAGTAATTTCTTAAAAACAACTAAAGAACTCAATTAACTATTTCAGATTAAATAACGTAAATTGAGTAAATAAGAGGCTAATAGAATAAAAGAGAGTTTTAATCTCATAGTGTATTTTATAGAAATTTTTAGCAAAATTTGCTATTATAATCATAAAATGGAGTTCTTTTCATATTTTGTTCAAAGTGTCCTGCTAAAAATTAATATTAAAACTAAATTATATAAATATTATATTAAAACAATTAAATTAGAAAAGGAAAAATTTTACTCACTTTGATTTTTATAATTTATATTGTTATCCTCATTAAAATTATTAATTGGTTCAATTTCACTATAAATTTTATTTTCTTCTTCAATCATTTTTTTAATAAACTCTTCATCACTTTCATTTGAAAATTTCACATTAAATTTATTATATCTATTTAAATTTATATTTTGATCATTATTATTATAATTAATAATTTTATCTTTAATATTAATATTAGTACTATTCGTTGTCATAACACCATGTTGACGTAATGTTGACCATAATAAAATTATAAATAATAATAAACCAAAAAATGCAACAATTGCAGCCCATGAGGCTTTTTGTTTCCAACGCGTCGTCATCTTTTCCGAAATTTATTAATTATTTTTGGTAAAATTTTAATTTTTATTAAAATATTATAAATCAAATTAATAATATTGTTTAAAATTATCTCCAGTTTAAGTTTACTAGATCTGAAATTAAAAAAGAGAAATTAAAATTTATTAGTAATAGATGAAATACCGAGTAAATAATTATGTAAAAGAAATATATTATATATACCTATATAAATTAAATTAAAGCAAACATTCCAAAAAATTATAAAAGAAAAGTTATTCTTAAAGAACAATCATGTTATGAATTATATTTCAATGTTTATAGAATAAACGCTAGAATCTAAGATGATATTATATAACAAATGATCGAAAAATAAAAAATTTCCAATCTATTTTCAATGGTTAATAATTTCAAATCAATAAGGTAGATATCAGTGGCAGATAAATCAATGATTAATATATAGTCATTAAGACATTTTTCTTAAGTCATTCTGAGACGCTTTTACTTGAAAATACAGAAATATAGTAATTTTGGGCAAACTACTTTTACTCTATGTATATATCTACTGTTTTTGTGTAAATATTTATTAATTTAATAAAAGCTATTTAGATTCCCACACAAAATTTCAATTTATTTATAACTTTTAATGTAGCAATAATCGAATATTGAAATTTTTTTTATGTTATTATAATAATATTAAGTACAAGACATTAACTTGTACGAACACAAATATTGTCAAAAAAAGAAAAAAATCAGTGAAAATTTATTATGCGACCACCTCTGCTTTTAAAATTAAAGATGAAATTTTAGAAAATTTTCTCTTTACATTGTTGAGGTAGATACCTATTTATTTTTATTCGCTTCTTTAATGTACAATCATTTAAAATATAATAATTAAATTTTATTATGTATATCCAATAAAAGAATACGTCATAATATTTTGTGCACATTAAATGAATAATCATTTAAATGGTGCAGTGACTCAAGCTGATTAAACCGACAAAAATAAAGAAGTATTATCTAACAAAATTTATTATATTTACATATACATATACATAGGTACCTATGTATATACAGTGTACATGGATTTTCAAAATTAAAATTTAATTCTTAGTAACATAAAATCGTATAAAAATAATTAAAGAATAATGTACAAAATTTGGATACTTATTCCAATCATAAGTATCATTTAATCATAATATGAGATAAGTTTATTCAAAATACTAAATCTAACTTGTGAATATGTACAGATAGAATTAAATTTTTATAGTGTATATTTACTTTATATGATTCCAAAAATTAAACATTTTCAATTGCAGGTGTACATATGTACATGGCTAGATTTATACCTGTACTTACATGGATACCTATGTTTCTTTATATTTGTGTATGATTAAACAAGATTTTAAGATATTTCTTTCCCAAAATTTTAATTTTATAGAGCAGGTTTACTAACATTTATTTATAAATTTAATTTGAAAGCTTTTATCATGCTAAACACATAATCGTTGGGTTTGTGCACAATTATTTTAATTATTCAAACTAATATTGCATTAAGATCAGCTACACAGGTGATGTTGAATTTCTTATCGCTCAACCTGGGCTTTTATAAATATGAGAACTTTAAATTTTAAGTTTGTCACTGGAAAAGCTGTTTTACAAACTGTATTTATTTGTTGCAGTTATAATAATTAGACTATGACAATTATTACTTCCAGCCTCCTAAAATTAAATAAAGCAACTTAATTAATTTAAAAAATTTTATTTGAAGTTGTATGTTCATTAACAAACATTTTCATTTCATTATTTGCTCATTTTGTCAAGGCAATCAGGAATCATACGCTCACTTTGTTCTTAAAAAATAAAGTGTTTACCCAATATCTCATCTTACTTACTACTGAATTGATTAAAGGTAACTTGTACACCTATTTTATTAGCGTTCGTGAATAAATTGGAATAGTCTTTTTTCTTTACAAAATTTTTTACTGTTACTTTTTGAACTCTGAAAAAGGCTTCTTAATTCTTATGTACGTACATACCTGCCCATATACATTCATGTGCATGTACACATTTGAACGCCAAACGATATACCGTTAAATTTTGTGCTGTGCTGGCAAATTATCCAAAAAATGTAATCTTATTTGACCGGTTTCACTTGAAATTTCCATGATTCAAGGGTGTTAATTTTATTTTACTCCTTTTACATTTCACTGGATTAAATTTTTAATTTTACATACACAATTTAGTATTTTTTTTTTAATTAAAAGTAGCATGTACTTTAAAATTAACTTTTCCGATGCAGACATTTTATAATAATTCAACAAGAATAAAATGAAACGAAACGAAGTAAGTGATTCACTGTCATAAAGTGACATTGACACATCAAAACGTTTAATTTAACAAGTAAAAATAAAAGTCAGAATATATAAAAAAAATTAATTTTTAACTCTAGCGGACAATCAGATCCTACGAAATGATATAAAATTATTATTCTCTTTATTTTCACATACAAGTACATATAGCTATATACTGAAACAGTTTAATAAATGCGCAACTTTGAAAAAAACTAATTAGCAATTTTATTTTTAAACCAAGTAAAATCTTCAAAACAAAAATTTTTCTAAATAATGCCCCCTTTGTGATCATTCCAAAATAGTTAAATTAACATTGGAATATAAAAATCATTTTTATTATTTGTTTTTATTCCTGTTGCGATATTCTGAACGCACCCCTTTTATTTAATGCTTGTCAAAAACGCCACAAACCAGTTTTGACAACAGAAATTTTAAAATAATTTCTTAATTAAATCCCCCAAATTTAAAAGATTTTTAACTCCATAGTTCTAATAATCATTTTAAAGCTCCAACAAAATAGTTTCATTTAATACAAGTATGCATTTAAAATAAATAAAATCTTTGCTACAGAGTATGGATTTTGACATTTGTTTACGGTTCGATAACAAAATTTACCACATAGTTTTAGGTAATCAATTGCTATATAACTCTTATATAATTGTGACAAACAATGGACGTTATCGATTAATCATTGCAAATAAAGAATATTCTGAATACGTCAAACTTCGTTTTCTTTTTTGTTGGTGCTCCAGCTCCACTTTGCCTTAATTTTTGTAGATTTTGTGTATTTTCTTTTCGAAGATAGAATTTAACTTGCCTTTTAATGTTAAGACTCTTATACATTGTTATACACACCTATATTATTTGTAAAAGTTAAAATGTCATAAGTATATCATATATATACATGGTGTTTACGCACCGAGTTCACTTAAAATTTTAAAGAGATTTTTTGCATTTTTTTAATGACTAATGTAACATTCCATGGTTCACATTCAGTAAATCGGTATATTCAAAACCTTGTTTGTGCTTTTTTGTATTTGTGTTGGAATATTGTGAACGCACCCTTTTTATTTAATTTCAAAAGAAGAATAAAAGTAGTAGAATGCAGAGCGACAATATTGTAATGTCAATGTTTTCCATGTATTCTGTTTAGGATTGTTTATTTCACTAATTTTGAATATTCCATCAAATAGTCGTTGAGTATTTCGATATTCCTATTCTTTCTTGAAATGAATAAACTAAAAGAACCAATATTTTTTTATTAAGTTTAAAGTTTATGCGTAAAATTTTTGAATAATATAAATATGCACATACACCACACAGGTGAAAAGGAACGAGTTGAAATTGAACCACCACTTTTTTTTATAAGACGAAACTATCAATCTGCCCTCGTATAAATTATGTAGTAAAAAAAGAAACAGAATTATTTCGTTCAATTCAAAAAGGCCTTTAAGAAGAGTGGGCAAGATCATCAATTATTATTATATATCAAAATAAAAATTAAAATAAAAATTAAGAGTGATATTAAAAATTATGAGAAAATTGTTTCAAAATTTATAATAAAAGCAAAATGCTAAGGATTTATGTAGCGTTGGTTTTTAGTTTATAACTATTCAGCATTTTTCATCTAGAAACGGTACAAATTGAAAGCTTCGATTTTGCAAGTCATCAAATAAAAGTACAACATCCATACATACATATGTACAAATGCGTGCTTTATTAAGTGTGATTTATTAAGTGAAACAGTAGATATTACAGCGCTAATCTGGACATGCTTTTATTTAAGATTTTCAACCTTTGCTGCTATTAAAACTATTAAACAAAATTGTTATTGGACATTTTAAATAATCTGCTATTAAACAACTTGCTATTGGATATATTAAATAACCGATTGGAACTCTTAAACAATCTGCTATTAAAATTATTAAGCAATGTGGAATTAATTGGATTATTAAACAAACTGCAAAAAAATGTTATGTTAAAAATGTTTTATGGTGCGCAGTTGAAGAGTTTTGCAGTTAAAATGCAAGCATGAACAGAATATCACAAAAAATTGAGTGAAATGGGAATTCGTAGTGTGGATAGAATGAATTTTTTCATAAAATGGAAAATAGTTACCACAGTCAAGTAGGTATTAGATATAAGAGAGCTACTAGATGTTTAATTATATATGTATGTAGTATGAATTTTTCAAATATAATTTTTTAATAGATATACTTACTATGTACATATGTTAACTTAAAACTTGTGCAGTTAAAATTTGATTTGATTAGAAATTACACAAAATCATCCCGACATATGAGCATCATTTCATTACAAAATTTCAAGTTAGATCAAACAAAATTTTTACAATTAACAACTTTCATCATAAGAATGAATGCCAATTATTGAGCTTTAATTTTCTTTCTCACACTGAAAAAGACTTAAACCTAATCAACATTTCAATAAAATTTTCGTAAAACTCGTAATACATAATAAGTCTAGTTTGTATAATACAACAATATTGTGGATATCTACTTTATCTCATAGTAAGAAAAATCATAAACCAACCTACATCTATATAGCTATAAAAATATTTTCGTTTAAATTTATGTGAGCGGGTGACTTAAAGTGCAACCAAGGAGAGAATATTTTAATAATTAATTGGGTTTCTTAATTGATGCAAATTAGTGCTGCAGACTACATAAATTATTTACAACATAATATTTATATACTTAAATACATAAATGTAAAAATTTTAATAATTTTGTTATAAAAGCAACAAAAATAATTAAAATCCATTT